CAAATGTTCTTAAGGTTGTTTTTAGCATTTTTCTTTTTTAGAAAACCAAGTATCCAAGTATTTCAATGCTACATATGTAACAACCCCCATACTGGTTACTGATTAATGACTGATTGATTACCGACAATTACCGATTACTGCTAAACGGAACTGATGATGACTGATAACTGACTGATAATTGAACTGATTAAAGTACTGAACTGACTGATTGAAATTGGAAACTGAATTGACTGAGTATATGTTAGTTAATTGCATTCTATCTGTTTGATTGTCTGATTATCTGTTCATGTTTATATGTTTAAACTGCTAATTGAAGGCCTTATCGGCGGCCGAATTAGAAACCGATTGATGTTCCGTGACCCTCATAATTAATGTGATTTTATGGTATATTTATCTGAAAACTGATTAGGTATGATTAAATTAGATTAAAAAAAACTTTTATCAAGAAAATCATCATACTAAAATTGAATCTAAATCATGCATAATCTTTCTAGATTAAATTCATAATAAAAATTATGAACACTTTTTATTTTAAGGAAAATTACGCATCAAGGTACTTTCTCAAAAAGAATTTCAATTCAATGGAAAAATTTATATATATTAATAATTAAATTATAAGCTTTTTCTTTTTCATTAATTTGTGACTATGTTATAAAAACTCCGCTCATGTGTAATTTCTCCTTAATTTTAGGGCACTTACTGGCCAGTCTTGTTAAGTAAATTATTTATGTATAAGTCCTACTCATTTTTAAGAGTTGTTTGAGATATTCTAAATAAGTACACTTTTTGACTTTTTATAAAATATGTGTTGGATTTAAAGTAATGTGATAGAGAGGTGATGTGACTTAAATAAGATGATGCGATTTAAATAGAATAATGACTTTTTGACTTTTTTAGGAGATGCCAAACCTAGCCTTAATCTATCAATATTTCCAAAGTACCTTCTCCCCATATTCTTTATCCCTACTATTAGTATTATCATAACTCTCCCACCGCCCAACTATCATGTCTGATTCCCGTCTCCGACCGCCGAAAAATATCTCCGGCTGTCATCTCCGATCGCTGGAAACCACCTTCGGTCTCTGGTAATAGTTTGCAGTGACATTTTTTCATAGCTCTCAGATCATTTTTCTTTAAAAAAACAATGTCATCTCCACCACCATGACTTCCACCGTCACTCGTTTTCAGCAATATTTGTTCAGCCATATTTTAGCAAAAATAACGTCCATCTCTATGTCCTTAGATTTGATGGTGACAAAAGAATAGAAGAAGGAGAAGAAGAATAATAAAAGTGAGAGAAAGGAAGAGGATGAAGAAAATGGAAGGCCTTACCTGAAAATATTTTTCCTTTATGTCATAGATTAACATAATCGTACATTTGCCATTTACTCTTTGTTCTCTTTCCGGTGATAAATTTATCATTCCATCAATTTATCAATGATAAATTTATCACTGGTGAATTTGTTAAAAAAAATTTACAAATGACAGATTTGATTTTAGAGAGAAAGATGGAGGGATATGACAACATTCTATCATGAAGCACAGCAATCAAACACCAAATTATGGCTACAAAAAATTTATATATAGATTAAAAAGTGCACATTCATTATCACTGATGCCTTTATTCAGGCTAGTTTGTTCAATGTTATATACAGTAGATCTAATTCACTGAGAGACTTAACGTTGACGAGGGTTATTATATTAGATCGGTATGTCGAAGTAGTAGACTGGCATTGGAAATGGTCAGATCTAAAGATTTCAGTGAAGATCGCCGTAAAAAATAATAGATTTGTGATTGAGGAAGTTGGGGGCAGCGGCGTCAAATATAGTACACCGATGATGGAAGAGAAAGATAGTGACACTGGAGGTGATGGCAATGAGGGACAAAGATTGGTGTAAAGAGAGCGATAACGACGATGCCGAGCGTTGTTGAAGGTAAAGGAGGGCGGTGATGGTTGAGGTGAGCGGCGTTGAAGGCGACGAAGGACAATGGTGGTTGAAGTGACTGAAGTTGAAGACGACCATGGCAACGATGGTGGTCTGGCGATGGTAACGGTGGTGGTATGAAACAATTTAGAGGAATGATAGAGAGAGAGAGGTATGCACAAATGGTAGAGGAAGAGAGAACAAAAGATGATTTAAGGTAATGCAAAACACTGAGGTTAAAAAGGAAAAATAACAAATAGGCCAGGTGTTGACGCGCCCGCGGGGGGGACCTCGCTACAGTTCGGACTCTCGATTTGTGTCACGGTTCTTAATCTGAACCTAAGAGTCCAAATCTGGCAAATCGTTTTGAGAAACAGATTTTTGAAAAAGTAGTGCCAAACATGGACTGCTTTGCCAGATACAGAGTCGCCACCTTATATTCTTTAACTGCTTCGCTCAGATACACTGATGCACTGTATACTGTAGTTAACTGTGAACACACTTGCAACTGATTTTTCCTCTCTTCTTCAACTCCAAAACCCTAAACAAAGTGTTTTGAAAGATTTTCCTCTCTTCTAGCCGAAGAAACTGATTCTTTGCCCTGCACACCTCTCAACACCGAGCAAACCATCAGTAGTGCCCAAGTCTTAAGGGCGGTCAAAAATGGGGTGTCTACACCAGGATTTATATGTCCATAAAATTCTAAGTCAAGACCTATGGGTAGAAGTGTTCTACGGATATTTCGATCCACTCAAATCAATCAAACTAAATCGATTCGTCGTATTTTGGATGGATACGTGATGGCGAGTGAACGGTTGCGAATTGATTTTTTTCAATCTGCCTACACTACAACAAAAAGCACTTTTGGCGATTAAAACTGTATTTTTCGTCGCTGAAAGTAGTAGAATTGGCGACTAAAATGGAATTAGTCGCCAAAATTGATCACTTTTGCCGACTAAAAGAGTTTAGTCGCCAAATATAAGGGTTTTAGCGACTAAAAGGCAGTTTAGTCGGGGAATGTAGGGGTTTTAGCGACTAAAGGTTGTTTAGTAGCCACAAATCACGGTTTTTGGTGACTAAGATTATTTAGTAGCCAAAAATGATGGTTTTGGCGACTAAAAAACAGTTTCGTCGCCGAAAGTGAAGCTCTTTGGCTACAAAAAAAAAAATTAGTAGTTAAAAACAGTCAATTGCCGACTAAAATTCAGTTTAGTAGCCAAAAGGGGACGTCTTTGGCGACTAAAAACAGGTTTAGTCGCCAAAACTGCTTATTTTTAGGCGGAACTTAATTTTTTAGCGACTAAATAATAGTTAGTAGCTGAAAATAAATTTTTAGTCGCCAAAAGTGGCCTAAATTTTTTTTTAGTAAATAATTTATTTTTTATAAATTATATTGAATTAAAATAATTATATTTATATATATTGTTTTGTATTAATACCGGTCAATATACTATATAAATAATATATATTGCATATATATTCATATGATGTTGTAGTGGCATAGTGGAGGGAGTGTGTTGCAAAAGAGTTTGGAATGTGGGACGGTTGGCACGGTTCGAAACTCAGAAAAAGCAAAAAAAATGGGTTTTTTTTTCGACGGAAACACCTTTGGAGACTAAAATTATTAGTCGCCAAAAGTCTTTATTTTGGCGACTAAGCGGTTTAGTCGGCGATTCAGTGAGTATTGGCGACTAAATTATTAGTCGGTAAATGTATGATTTTCAAAAGTGTAAAACACTATTGGCGACTAACACTTTGGTCGCTAAAGACCTGTATTTTGGCGACTAAAAAATTATTAGTCGCCAATACCTGCACTGACCACGTATACGCGACAAATGTGGCGACTAAAAAATTTTGTCGAGGAAAGAAAAATTTCGACTTTCGGCTACTAAAAACCGACTTTTGGCGACTAAAAATTTAGTCGCCAAAAGTGTTTTTTCTTGTTGTGCTAGTTTTGGACAGATGGTAGATTTGAGGTTCTTTTGGCCGCAATCGAACTGCCAAATCGCGAGCATTTCTAGGAATTTGTAAGATTTTGTATTTTCAATTTGTTTGTGTTTTCAATTGAAAAAAAAAAGTTTAGATGTTCTATTGTGTTTTCAATTTATTTTCAATTTATAAATCCTTTTATCAAATGACAAGTGTTAATATTTGATATTTTTTGTGAAAAATATAAGATTTAATTGTCATTTTAAAAAAAATCAAATTAAATAGTTTTTGAATAAAAAACCAACAATGAAATAGTTTTGATAATGCATAATTTTCTTATATGTATTCATTATTGATATTTGACAATTTATTTGATAATCTTTTGATTATATTGAGTTAGATTTCTAAAAAAAAATATTGACAAGTTGTTATATTACGTTTAAAATTCAAAAAAATTTAAACCGTCAAACCGATTCATATCCATCCGCCATTCTGCCAATCTGCTCAATCTGCATCCGCTAATCTAGCAAGTGGATGCGGATTGATTTTTTCTAATTCGCCAGTCCAACGGACAAATGGCAAATTAAAAGTTCTCCAACCACAATTGAACTGCGAACCCCTTATTAATAGATAATAAACCTTAAATAAAAATGCTAAAGATTCCAAATAATCTATCAAAAATTTTATGAAATGTCTCATATGAGTGTGAGACTCACATGGACCCATATTATATGAATCTCACATATATGTAAAATATTTGATAAAAATTCTAATAAAATTTTTAAATTCTCTAACATTAATTAACCTTAAAAGGGAGACCGCCTGTAATAAACCCTTAATTTTATTGATCGATAGAAATTTGGAGGCATTATCTGGGCCCAAATAAAAACAAAAAAATCCAAGCCTAACTTCCCAAAGCCCACCTCACCTTAAACCACCCCCCAAAAAAATACTAAATAAAAAAAAGTAGCCGTTGTAAGCATCCATGTGGCACTTGCCGACTTGCAAAGCATACTAGTAGTCATTTTGTCAATTGCGACGGTCATTGATGTCCCTTTTTTTTTATTTTAATATTTTAAAACACGAAATTTAAGATCACAGCAATTGAATATAGCTGAAACGTAATCAATACTCTTTTTCCCGAACTTTCTTTCCATCCAAACAGTATAAAACGAAAATGAGTATATTGCTGCTCTTCTTTGCTTACGAAAACAGCACTGTGTTCGGATTTTGCTAACGCAAGCAGTTATTGCGTGGTTATCTCTCTGTATGTTGTTGATCTGATTACCAAGCAATCCGAAACTCTATGCGATCTGCAACTCTCTGATTTCTCTCTCTCTCTCTCTCTCTCTCTCTCTCTCTCTCTCTCTTTAAGCTTCGATTTTCTCTCTCTTGTTTTGAAGCTTCGGCATTACCTCTCTTTAAGCTTCGATTTTCTCTCTCTTGTTTTGAAGCTTCGGCATTACCATTACTGAACAGAGCTCAGAGTAATCACACACAACAAGTATGGACTTCTCTACCTTTTGTGTTTATTCCTTGTTATTTTATATATCGTTAAGTAGATCGTATACTGTATATTGTAAATGTGTATGTTTTCCCTGGATATACGATTTTTTTTTTGGAATTGAATGAAGAGACCCAACTCTGTTTGGTTTGTAGTTTTCAATAACAGTTTTCTAATTTTCAATCGGTATTTTTTTAGTGAAATTTTTAAATATTTTTGTCAATGTTTTTTAATTTTTAGATTTACTTAATCTAGTGTCAAATTTGTGCAAAAAATTTTCAAAATTTAATTGAATACAAAAAAATAATACAAAAATTTAGTGCAGTTTTGCATTTTGTTGTATTGAATGATTTTTTTATTTTATTTTTTTAAATTGTACAAATTTTGTACTTTTTATGTGTATCTTGATTAGATTAAGTGAAATTTCGTTGAGCTTCACAAAGTAGGAATTGTGATTTTTTTTTTGGTTAACACGTGTTTGTGAAGAAGTGATAGATTTATTTATTTTTTAATCAAATTGGAATCATGAGAATATTTGAAAGAAAAAGGAGTTATGAAATTTTGATAAATATAGCATATACATGATTTTATTAATTTTGAAGAAGAAATAAACTATTTTAATTGTGTTATCTGGGCTTTGGCATATTGGTTTAAAGTTGGAATCTATATATGTTTTTCATGTGGATGAAACTAAGGGATGAATTAGTACTATATTTAAAATTTGGAGAGAAGTATTTGACTCAAAAGAGTTTAAAATTAATAGAACTAAAACTGATTACATGGAACATAACTTTAGAAACATATTAGATGAACATAACTTTGGAAAACATACTTATTTTCTGAAGGAGTGATATATATATATATATATATTAATCAAATTGGAAAAGAAGTTATGAAGTTTTTATAAATTATAATATTATATTCTTCAAATATAGCATCTACATATTTTTATTAATTTTGAAGAAAAAATAAACTAGTTTAATTGTGTTGGTTATAATTTGAAATCTATTGATGTTGTTCATGTTGGCATATTGAACGATGTTTAAAAAGCGCTTATTGGGTTTGCGTATTATCTTTGCTTATGTATAAAAATGAGCTCATTTTTTGGCAGGGAGATTTTTATCTTCTTTTAGAAAGGCTTGATGGCTACGCTTGGAGATATAGGCTTAGCGGCAGCTATCAATATTTTCAGCGCATTTCTTTTCTTTCTGGCATTTGCGGCATTACGACTTCAACCTCTCAATGATAGGGTTTATTTTCCAAAATGGTACCTTATGCGTTTAAGAAGCAGTCCTACACACTCCCGAGCATTCATAAAGAAGTTTGTCAATTTGGATTTCAAGTCCTATTTGAAGTTTCTGAATTGGATGCCTGAGGCACTGAGAATGCCGGAACTTGAGCTCATTGACCATGCAGGATTGGATTCTGCTGTTTATTTACGGATTTACTTACTAGGGTATGCTACTAAATATAATTCTTAATTTTTCTTTGCTGTAACTGTTTGTTAGTTAGCTTTATACCTTTGAAAAGTGGTAACTTGAATTGGATGGAGGCGTTGACTTTCCTTATGACTTGAATTCGGTGAAATTGATATTCCACTATCTCTGACCCTATGGTCTTGTTTGGCTAGGTGGAGAGTCCTTGAAATTGAATTTTGAGGAAAATATGCACTTTTTTAGGAGTTTGATTTGCAGAAAAGTGGAAAATATTCGAGAAAGTAGGAACCGAGTAATGACTTGATTTTCTTGAAGACATGGCGTATTTCATGCAGAAAACACAAGAAAATTTGTACTTTGCGATGGAAGTTATCTATTATTAGGATTCCAAATTTCCCATTCTATCCATTCTACTTTATGTAACCTTCCTTATAAACAAAATATAAGAAATTTTTATCTATTGCAAATTTTCTTATATGAATTGGTTAATTTAGAACAAGTCAGGATATATATGTATTTATTTTTTTAAACTTTCTTCTTATTCAAAAGTACGGCTAGTGATCATGCAATTCAAATATTTAATTCTTAATTCCATTTATGCTTTTTTTCTTTTTTCTTTTTTCTTTTTTCATTCTAACCAAGCAGAGTCTATTTGAATTATTGAAGATAAGTTTAAAACAAAATGCCTACATTAAAATTCTTTTAACAATACTTGATACTCATGTAGGTTTTTTTTTTGCTTAGGATATTTTGCATCTGATTTAACTTCACCTCTGGCACATTTTCAGTATAATGATTTTGAGAAGCTCTGGAGGCTGCTTGTCAAACATTTATTTTCTTCATAGATTTGAAGTTTGTCTGCCTTATGCACATCAAGTACTGGCTAGGAGACATCATTTTGATTTTCATTCTCCTGATGTCTGTGTAACTTGATCTTCCTATCTTATCTCTCAGCGAATATGCAGTAACATTTCTATGCTGTGAGGATATTATCTTATCCAGTTTGAATGATTTTTGACATAATTGTATACAATATGTCTTCTACTAATTCCTCAATTTAATTCCTGTCATGTTGTTCGACTTCAATGAGGATATCATCTCAACAAAACGTTACTCTTCTATCAAAGGATATATTATCTGGTGCCAGTTTCTGCGTCTTCTACTAATTCCTCAATTTAATTCCTGTCATGATGTTCGACTTCAATGAGGATATCTTCTCAACAAAACGTTACTCTTCTATCAAAGGATGTATTATCTGGTGCCAGTTTCTGTATATTAATTTGTGCAAACTTAATTTTTTTTTTTCTGACAGTGTTGCATGTAAGATATCTGTCTGTTCCAGGAGGTGATATCTTCTCAAGTTTGACATTTTGAATACTTTCCTGTGCTGATTTCTGTGCACTTATTTGTACAGGCTCAAAATTTTTGTTCCTATAACATTACTTGCATGGGCTATCCTTGTACCAGTTAACTGGACAAATAGCACTTTAGAGCTAGCCAAAGTAACTTACAGCAACATTGACAAGCTTTCGATATCAAACATTCCTATTGGATCGAATAGGTGAGAGAAGCCTTCTTTTAATGGAAAGCTTTTAAATATGTATTTTTATAGTCACAAGCTTTTAAATATGTTACTGCACTATTGCTTCATATCCATGAATGTTTGTGTATTCAATCTGCATTTGTCATGCCTGCTTAGTTATACACTATCTGGTGTTGTTATTGCAACCCTATATTCAGAGTTGTATCAAACTATGCTCAGGACAGCTGGAAGAGGCTATGCCTCCTCTAATCCCTACCCTATAGTAGAATATATTTTCCTTATCAGTTGCATCCGTGCAAGGTTTAGGACTCCTGTCTGAACTTCTAGAAGGCAAGAAAAAAACAAAAGAGAAACTTGCCCAGCTGATCAAACTTAAAGCACACGGTGTCCATTTTTCAGAAAATTGTTGCTTGGGTTGTCAAATTGCTGCCTTGACTTCTCATGTTTTGCATTGACATGATCCAAAGAGTCCATCAATCCCAATTCATCTTGATGATTCATTTATTCATATTCTGTGTGATTTGGATAGGTTGTGACAAGAAGAATAGTCATGGAAGTTTTATTTTTTCAGAATGCCATCCTAATTTTTGGCTCAAAATGATTTGTATTTATCCTTAATAGAAGGAACATGGAAATTTTTAATCTAAAATGTTGGGAGGACGGAAAAGTTGATATTGTAGAAGTCAATTCACACCTTGGACTGGAAGAACATATCCTGCTTGTTTGTATATTGCCATTTTGAATGATTCCCCTTCACAAAGCAGGCTTAGATATGTATCTCATGACGAAGGTTATGCCTAAACGCAGCTGAGCTCCACCTACCTCTTTGCATAGGCAGCTCTTTCTCTCTCACTCTCTCTCTCTCTCTTTTGTGTAGAAGCATCAGCAACCTAGCCTGATCTGGAGTAGAATTGAAGTCTGGGTCCTCTTGACTAATCCTCGTAGTATCCAAAATGGTCATGAGGGATGAACCCATGCCACAACTTATGAACTTCAAACTCTAATTTCCAACTGGAGTTGAAATTTCAGAACCTAATGCCTCAGTAGAACACCTAATAACTTAATTACCAATTTAGTAAAATTAAATAGCAAGTTTATTTTTCTATAAGATCCACTTGTATCAATTTTGCACCAGAGTGCTTATTTAGAGGGAAATGTAAGATGAATAGTAGAATCTCCTGTCTAAGATATATTAGTATGATTCAATCTTAGTATTATATTTGGCATTAGTAATAAGGACTTCATTTCGAACAGTTGGTACTTGTTTTTAGTTTTACTAGCACAACTACTCTGGTGTGCAATGAATGATGTTCACCATTCTGGAATTGCAGATTTTGGGCTCATATAGTAATGGCCTATGTGTTCACTTTTTGGACATGCTATGTGTTACGAAAAGAGTACCAAACAGTTGCATCAATGCGTATGCAATTTCTTGCATCAGAAAGACGGCGTCCTGATCAATTTACGGTAAGATGCATATTGCTGTGTCTGATTGAAGTTCATTTTTAAAAAAATACAATATTTTTAATTATCTTATTGTGATTCTTTGTCTTCATTTAGGTTATTTATTTATTTTTTTTGTTTATGTAATTCAAATGGAATGTGATGAGTCCTTTTCTGAGTGACAGTTTGTACCTGCTCGAAAACAGTCTTGAGTATGAGTATTTTAAATCAGCAGGACTTGTTTACATAGTTTGTGTATTCAGTATTCTTATTTTCACTAGTAACCATATTTTTATAGCAACTGTTCTTCATCTCTCCATTTTCACCTTTCTCTAGTAATTTTATTCTTATAACTTGAACTCTAGAAGGCATTGGAGGACTAGTAATCATGACATATCGTTTTCTTTTCAAGATGTAATTTGTTGTAATAAATTCTTAATATGTTTATTGATGCTCACGTGTCCACCAAGTTCTATCTCTTTGCAGACAACTCTTCAACTCCATGCTTTACTAAAACTTGGTATAAATTTGATTGCTCACAGGTACTTGTTACGAATGTACCTCCAGACCCTGATGAATCGGTTAGCGAGCTTGTGGAGCACTTTTTCCTTGTCAACCATCCAGATCACTATCTCACCCTTCAGGTTGATTGTGCTCACACTTCTGTGTAAAATTGTCAGCTTGGAAGGAAATTGTGGTTGTTTAGAGGCAATGATTGTTTACGATATACATTTATAGGAAAAATTTGCAGTGTAAAATTCTTGCTTTACAGGATGGTATTTGTTTCAGTTATTTCCTTTTTGATCTATCAATTTTTTGAGTTGCACACATTATCTCAAAACAAACACCATACAGCTCTGTTCTTATTTAGAAAATTTTATGCAGGTCATATACAATGCAAACAAACTTGCAGAATTGGTGATGGAGAAGAAGAATAAGCAGAATTGGCTTGACTATTATCAACTAAAATATTATAGAAATAAATCAACACGGCCTGTCATGAAGGTACACCTGTGAAATGTAATGCCTTAAACAGATAATATTTCTATTTTCTTGCATTTGCCGTTAATGCTGTTTGCCTTTTTGTGCTGGTGACATGCTGTTTCTCAATTTAAACTACTGATCCTGTTTTGTTGTAATTTTTTTTTTTTTCCCCTTAACTGGCAGACTGGTTTCCTTGGCCTCTGTGGGAAAAAGGTGGATGCAATTGATTTTCAGATATCTGAAATCGAGAGATTATCAAAAGAAGTAATTACCCATTGTTGAATTTTTTCAATATAACTTACAATTTTATTTTCAATTCAATCACTTGTTTGCTTTGTTGTCCCTTTAACACTATTTTGTTTAAAAGAGTCTACAAGGCAAATGATCTTTGTATATTTTCAAGTATAGTTAACTCTGTTAAAAAAAGGTGGCAGCCCAGTGCATGAGGCTCCTACTACTGCAGGGACTGGGAAGGTTCAGATATTTGCAGCCTTTGTGTTGTTCTAGTTTGGGGGTAATTACATGGCCCTATGGTTTGGCCCAAAAACCCAGGGGGTGTACTTTCTCTAAGGTCTCAGATTTGAAACCTTGTAGGTGCAAACAATTTCTTGGGGCTAGTCCATACAAGCCTTTGCCACGACTTTAATTGTGCTCCTGCTAGTGGACAGTGGGATTGGTCTACCGGATTAGTTGGTCTAGTGGGCCAAATATCGAGTTATAAAATAATGCTTTGGCCAAAAAACACATAATCTCCTTGTGATTTAAAAATGTACGCTTAACCTCTTTATAGTTTGGATTAAAATGCAAAAATAACTAACACATGCTTAACCACGTCTTAAGCATGCTTTGTTTAAAAATCATGTGATTGTGTTGATACTATCTAGATTTTCTTGTTGGTCTCTATACTGTTAACACATTATGTTATGACCTGGATCCTGCCATACCCAGAATAGGATTCGTGACCTACCAGTAGCGCAGGATGGCAAATGAATATTTAAATTACAGCTGAAGGATGTCATGTTTCAAATCTGTAAACATAAGTGTGTTCTCAACTTTAAGCAAGTGCTAGGGTGAGAACATCTCCTATTAGTTCCAATTGCTTGTTGGCCATATCATTTCTTCTAAGATGAGAATTTGAGACAAATAAACATGTTTGACAATGGTCATTGTTGCAGGCTTGATGTTGCTATTTTTGTGAGCAAATAAAATGATCCTCTAAGAGAATAAACTGTTTAGAATATTCTTAATAGCTCCATGTCACACTTCCAATATGCGGAAGAACTTTTAAATAAAAATACTTATTCTTCAAGTTAGTTTGAAGTTGAATGTCTGCCACATTCAGAATTACTCCCCTTGCTCCTCTCCTTCACCCCAAATTTTCATCTGTTAGTTGTTCTTTTTTTTCCCTTTATTTTTTTTTCGTTGCTGAAACCCCATCTTAATGGTGTTTCTTGGATACTTCATATTCAGATAACTGCAGAGCGAGAGCGGATTACAAAAGATTCAAGCTCTGTGATGCCGGCAGCATTTGTGTCTTTCACAACTCGGTGGGGAGCTGCTGTGTGTGCACAAACCCAACAATCCAAAGATCCAACTAAATGGTTGACAGAGTGGGCTCCAGAGCCACGTGATATATATTGGCAAAACCTGGCGATTCCTTATGTTTCACTGACAATTAGGAGGCTTATAATTGCTGTTGCCTTCTTTTTCCTCACATTTTTCTTCATGATTCCAATTGCATTTGTACAATCCCTTGCAAACATCGCGGGTATTGAGAAAGTGTTACCATTTCTGAAGTTCATCATTGAAATGTGAGTTTGCATTCATTCATAGACCAAAGCATTCCCTTAAAGTTCATTCATGGATTTGTATTTAGGTAAAATAATCTTTTTTCATTTTTGTGCATTCAACATTTTTAGGTTGTACACACTCATGAGTTGATGTGAACTTTTACCTGCATGTTATGTTGTTAGGAGGTTCTCACATTGAGTTGAAGTAGCATTCTAATACATGCTAAAACCATTTATCCAAAGATAATGTTCTTTTAATACAAAACCTCCAAAAGCAAAGCACTTAGGTTCAAAATATGCTTTACTACCAAGGGGAAATTGGGGAAGGGTGGAAGAAAAGAAACTATTACTTGCTATTGAATTATTAGTTTTTAACGATCTTACATCTATTTTATTCACTCTTTCTAAATAGTTCACCTTCTTGTTATATATGTTAAGAAAATCATATTTATTATTGTTGAAATAGGGAAAACATTAGTTCTAAATAGAGTCTTATAAGGAGCAGTGTTTTTCTTGGAGATGTTTGGTTGCTTCAATGGAGTATCAAAGCAACTGTTGGATGGATGCATATGAGAAGCCATAGAAGCAGTAGAAATGACACTGGCACTAACACGGTGCTTTGTACTTGCAAAACATATGGTCAAAAAGGTGAAATAGGAGATGCTCATCGTGGATATATATTTTTGGAACCTGATTTTGAATTTCCTGAAATTGTTGAATATGTTGTTCACTTTCAGCAGCCATTGTCAAGATATTAATTTCCGAAGCAAAATGGAGGTTTGCTTATAATTTATCTGCTACTAGAGATAAAATAAAAGGAAATGTCTAATTTTAAACTTGGATGTATTTGCTCATATGAATTTTAAAATTTGGAGTCAAGGTCTTTTCTTTTTTCTTTTCTTTTTTTTTTTCATTTTCTCTCTTAGTCTGTATGTACTGAGTATTAGTGATTACCATTGCAAAGTTCATGCCATATTTTGGTTGTTCATTGTGAATTACAGGTGCTTCTTACTAATAATACTGTGATCTATTATGCAGACATTTCATCAAGTCGTTCATCCAAGGCTTTCTGCCTGGGATTGCCTTGAAGCTTTTCCTCATCTTTCTGCCTACAGTACTGATGCTTATGTCTAAATTTGAAGGCTTTATAAGCGTATCAACCCTAGAGCGGAGATCTGCATCTAGATATTATATCTTCACCTTTGTGAATGTATTCCTTGGGAGCATAATCACAGGAACTGCATTTGAGCAATTAAATTCTTTTATTCATCAGTCGGCAAACGAGTATGTTGCTCTAAGTTTCTATCGAATTGTTGTCCAGTGTTTGCTTTTTTGTCTGGCAATTCTCTTATGTTACTTGTGTGCTATTTATTCATGCTTGTCCGGTATTTCCTCTTGTTTCTGATGCAGTAATATTAGTAGGGGGGTGGATATCTGTGATTGTGTGTTATGTTGAGGATATTGGTTAGAATATTACTATAAGATGTAAAATTAAAGTTGTGTTTATTTGAGGATATTGGTTAGAATATTACTATAAGACGTATTATCAAAGTTAGATAGCATTATTTTGGTTTGGATACCTGTTCCTATTTTCTAAGGATTGCGTGATTTGTGTTGTTTGCTTCGTGGTGCTTATTTGTATGGCTGGAGAAGGGATGAATACAAAATTGAATCTGCAGACTGACATTGAGCATTTAAGAACTTCAAAATAGTTTCAGTAAACAATATTTCCACGGCGCAGCTTTAGTTTTTATTTTTTAGTTTTTTTTTAAATATTTGTTTACATAATATCACAAGTGTGAGATAGGTTTCAATATGAGATAGATTCCATAAAAAATGAGTATCGATATCTATATTGGAATGGTATACTTGTGCCTGCTTATCTAGTTGCTAGGTGACCAGTAAGAGAAATTTGATTCAATTTGTTAAACTTGTTATCTACCATCAAGGCTACAGAATACATGTCTTACTTACCTTGTTATTTATTGGCTTGGCTCCCTTGTCATCTCATTCTATTATTCCCTGTCCAATCAAACATATAGGCTGTGTTTGGATTAATGATTTGGCATTCATTCATAGACCAAAGGGAAATCAAAAGGAAAGGGAAAAGTGGGGGGGAAAAAAGTTAAACTTATATTTTGTTCACTTTTCCCTTCCTTTTCCTTTTCTCTCCTCAAAACCTTAACCTGAACATAGCCTTAAGTTTCTGCTACCATGTTCTCCTTGTCTATTTACTTTATTTAGAATTTCTGTGGTGTCAGGCGCTGCCTTTTAGCTAGAGATTATGCAGACTAATGATAAATGGTGGTTTTTCAGGATCCCTAAAACCATTGGTGTAGCAATTCCGATGAAAGCAACTTTCTTCATAACCTATATAATGGTTGATGGATGGGCCGGCATTGCAGGGGAGATTTTAAGGTTGAAACCGCTGATTTTCTATCACTTGAAGAATTTCTTCTTGGTGAAGACTGAGAAGGATAGGGAGGAAGCAATGGATCCAGGAAGTCTGGGTTTCAACACTGGCGAACCTCAAATACAGCTCTATTTTCTGCTAGGACTCGTTTATGCTGCGGTGACACCACTTTTACTTCCTTTCATATTGATTTTCTTCAGCTTAGCATATGTTGTATTCCGCCATCAGGTAAAAATTTTCAGTAGAATTTATTAGATTGCTGGATTCTGCGCCAGTCTGTGTGATACAGTCAAAATTCTTTGTAACTATATTAGCTTTTGTAATAAGAGTTCTGTATGATAATGCAGATCATAAATGTATACAACCAACAGTATGAAAGTGCTGCAGCATTTTGGCCCGATGTCCATGGACGTGTAATAGCTGCATTGGTTATCTCCCAGCTTCTTCTAATGGGATTGTTGAGTACAAAAGAAGCTGCTCAGTCAACACCATTTCTCATTGCTCTTCCGGTACTGACCATATGGTTTTATAGGTTCTGCAAAGGCCGTTATGAACCTGCATTTATCAGATACCCATTACAGGTTTGTAGGAATTTATAATTTGCAAAACAGACACATAGTTATCACACTTTTAATTGTTAGATCACCAATTGTCTAAAAATTTAAGATGTTAGGAAATGGATCTAACAATGCATATCAAACTATCCTACACCATCCCCCACGTGCAATCCTGTCTTGCATGTGGAGATACAAACATACATTATCACACTCCAATTAGTCATTTTGAAATGCTCAGCCTTCGGGGTTGGTATTTGTTTCCGCAAAGTCTACAAGCTCGATAGCAAGTCCCAAAAGCTTAAACTCTTAGGAAATTGGTCCAACAATGTATCTCAAGCTATTCAACACCTGGACCAAATACAGACAGAGAGACTTAAACCCAAAACCTCCCCCGACCTAAGCTCTAATACAATATTAGATCCCCAATTATCCTAGAAGCTTAAATTATTAGGAATTGGGCCCAACTAGGAGGAACCTTTTACTGCTCGAGTCATATTATATATAATAGAATAAAATAGTTGACAATTTTTATTGTTAATGCTAGCTGAAAGTTCAGGTGTGCTATTTTATTTTATTTTTTTATTATTGTTTTTGTGTATGTGTGGTGCTTTTGTTATGGTGTTGCAGTCCTAACTTCAAGTTTGTCATAATTGTAGTCTTTGATTTAAAGTTGTTCTTATCATTTCCCGTTACGTGGCGAATTTCAGGAAGCGATGATGAAAGATACTCTGGAACGTGCCACAGAACCAAACCTCAATCTAAAAGACTACCTTCGAAATGCTTATATCCATCCTGTTTTTAAAGGAGAAGACGATGAAGATGATGAAGACGAAGAAGTTAGTGAAAAGTGGGAACAGGAGAGTGTGCTAGTCCCCACAAAGCGCCAGTCCCGCAAGAACACACCACAGCCTAGCAAAATCAGCAGCAACTCCTCACCATCTTTGCCTGATGTTGTTGAACATCCACAGCCTTAAATCATGGATATGAGACTCTACCTCTTTGAGTACTTGTATTGTTGAAAGAGTGAAAGGAGGGTAGAACTGTAAATTAAAGTAAATTGCTTAATTTGTTGTAGAGGAGATAATAATTGACACTTGAATGTTTTGTACACTCACAAAGATTAATTATACACAATTTTCTTGATCTATGTATGCACCATGAAAGATGCTTACATAAACTGATTTCTTTTACAATTTGTAATTGGTATTTGAAATGGATCTACTGAAATTAAGATAGGAACAATTCAATTTTTAAGTCAGTTTGTAAACTACAGTTTGTTTGGATGTGTAAAAATTAAATGATACAAGCAACTCAATTTTCACATCAATTTTAGTTTGTAAAAACATTTTTTCGCTGTATATTGAGGCCTAATTTTAAATTTCTCTTTTTTTGACCTATTTTGAAAAAGTAAGAAAAAAGTCAATTTTTTTTGGCTTTTTTAAACTATTTTTGAAAAAAATATACAAAAAAGTGAAGAGATAATATAATCTGAATAAGCCAATAAGTCAATGGAAAAAGTAGTGGAACCATTCATTCTCTAACTTTGCTTAGTAGGAGAGATTTAAGATTTTTTTTTTTTTTTTTTTTTTTAATTAACTAAGGTCTTTCAATATTTTCATAGAGAGTTAAATTTTCTCTATAAAAATGTTAAGAGATATCTCAACTACCGTGGAAAATATTATATGTTTTTTATCTTATAAAATTTTGAAAAAATTGGCCTAAGGTCCCTCTCTACTTTTGATAGGAGGAGAGGTCCAAAATAATATGTTTTGATGGCTAGGGTCCCTCAAATTATTTTAGGTTGTGAAGTACCTAATTACCCTTCCTTTATAACATAAATTTGTTTGAATATTATATTGTTGACTTAACTGATAGATTTTGGAAACCGAATTTGCAGTGGAGATTTCGTCGGAGATTTCAGTGGAGATTTCATGGTGGAGATTTCGTCGGAGATTTCAGTGGAGTTGACGAGAAAGATTGCTACGTCGTGTAGATTTCGTTGGAGATTTCGTCGGAGATTTCAGTAGTGTTACAGTGTATTGATCGCGTAGATTTTCAGTGGAGTTTGAATCAGGTTTTGTTTTCGATGGAGATACAACATGCATTTTGATTTTGTTTTGAAATTTTTGTTTAGAGAGAGGCCAGCTTGATAGAGTTGATTTTTATTTTGGAATTAATTTTTATATTATTTGTTTTTTAATCAATTTCAAAGAGTGTTGACAATGTGTTGATCGCGTAGGTTTTTTAGTGGAGTTGAATCAGGTTTGTTTTCGATTAGATTCCACATGGATTTTGATTTTTGTTTTGAATTTTGTTTAGAGAGAGGCCAGCTTGATAGAGTTGATTTTTATTTTTGGAATTAATTTTTCATTCTTTGTTTTTTGATCAATTTCAAGTAGTGTTGACAGTGTAGGTGATTTTGATATTTAGAGTTCATTTTTCGTGCTCTGTTTTTTATCAACATGCTGATCAATGATAAGTTTTGTTCTATGTTTTTTCAAACCAGAGAAATTTCATTTTCTGCACTTTTGTTGTGTAGTCCAGAAGAAATTATAAGTGCATATGGACATATTATTAGAAGTTTCTATTGCAGATAGAATATGAGAAAGTGAATGTAAGTTCATAAATTTCTCTGGACTTGTATTTGTAGTTCAGAGAAAATTATAAGTTTGTTACTCACTTTCAGTTTGTAGTTTAGAGAAAATTATATGTTTGTAGAAGTTGAAATAAAAGTTTTTGTTTCTCTAAGCAAAAGTTTATTTTTTATGTTTTTTTCTTTCAGTTTAGATGGACAATGCAGTGTTTTTGTTTATCTTGAAGGTGCATATAAGTTTGTAAATTTCTCTGGATTTTTCTATGAGTGCAATATTACAGAATGACGCATAGAAAATTGTTAGCTTGTAGTGAGGTGAAAATCATGGAAGAAGCCTATAATTTCATAACAGATATTCTGTGTGATTTTTTTCTATGATTGTGTTTAATAGTTAGCAGTAAATTTCTCTGTGATTCATTAAGTTTATGTGATTTTGTTTTTTATCATCTTGAAGGTGAATATCAGTTTGTAAATGTCTTTGGACTTTTATTTAAGTTCAGAGAAAATTATAATTTTTAAAAAATTTCTCTGGACTTTTATGTTGTTCTTGTGAAGTGTTTCTATGTTAAACAATTATTTTTTATTATTTTTTGTTTCAGTTTCAATGGACAGTGCAGTGTTGTTGCTGTGCAAATATGGGAATGATACTATTGTCATTAATGTTTCATGGCGAATTGAATTTGAGGAATTGGTTGGCATTTTGTGTAAAACATGGGAGAATTTGAAACCTGAGACTGTGTATTTCATATTCTATTTTGGCCCATCCGAATTGTATGGTTCGAAAATAATATTGATTTTCTGAATATGTTGAGGGTTGTTTGTGCACGCGGTGTTGATATAGTTGATGTTTCAGTTACTAGATGTAGTACTTCTGATGAAGAGAATGAAGTGGGGTCTAATTGGGTAGATGTTGTGGATGGTGAGTGTGATAGGCTGGTGGATATTTGAAAGGAATTCACTCTCTAAGTTTTTGTTCTCACCAAGAACAGGTGTTATTGTCGGCTAGTTGGCGGAATAATATTACGAGTGTTGGACAAAGTTTGAGGTGGTGTGGTTGAGTTCCGTACTTTTTTATGCAAGTATGCTATTGAGGTTGGTTTTCAGTTTACGTATGTTAAAAATAACAAGCTGAGGGTTACGGCAGAATGTGCATATAAGGAATCAAGGGGATTATGTGGCGTGTGTTGAAAAAACAAATGGGTTCTTATACATAAGGACTTTGAACAATGAACATACGTGTGGTGTGGCGGTTCGTACGAGTAAACATTCGAGGATGACTTCCAGCTTAGTTTCTGGGCTGATACTTGAAGAGGTAAGTGCAAAAACCTTTAACTCGTCCAGTGGATGTTGTGAAAGAAATGAAAGACAAGTATGGGGTCTCAATCAGTTATAACTGTGGTTGGTTGGGTGTTGAAAAAGTAAAATGTAGTCATATGGGGATTCTTGTTTGTCATTTGATCAATTACAGTGGTATTTTTGATGAGGCATTGAAGAACAATCCAGGTAGTCGTTTTGAGTTAGATTTTGAAGATAACAAGCGTTTCAAAAGAGTGTTTGTGGCTTTTCATGCATGCATTGCTGGTTTCAAATATTGTTGGTCATTGCTTTTTCTTGATGGAACATTTTTGAAAGGACGATACAAAGGAGTTATGCTTGCTGCAACGGGAAAAGATGGGAATGAAGGTAATTGTAAATATATCTAATTTTATCTAAGTATGTGAATTTTCTATACATGTAGGAATTGAGTGAATGTGAATTTTCTCTGGTTTTGGCCACTGTGAGAATTTTCACTAAGATTTTGGGTCAGTGTATGAATTTTCTCTGGATGTTGTCATTGTGTGAATTGTATCTGTAGGTGGTCACTAAGTGAATTTTTCCTGGATATTATGATTGTGTGAATTTTCTCTGTAGTTTGGTCAACTAAGTCATTTTCTCTGGATGTTGCCAATGTGTGAATTTTCTCTGGAGTTGGGCATTAAGTGATTTTCTCTAGATGTTGGCAGTGTCAAACTTCTCTGGTTGTTTATTGTTCTATTTTTCTCTGTATGTAAATATCTAATATGCTTGTTCCTATTTGTTTTGTAGGTTTTTTTCCTGTAGCTTTTGCTGTTGTTGATGCTGAGAATAAAGACAATTGGTGTTGGTTTCTTGAACATTTATGTGGAGTATGGGATCAGAAAAGGTGATAAGTTTCATATCAAATCGACATTGTGGTATTGTGGAGGGAATGCTAGGTTTTTTCCTAACTGCTTTCATGGATTTTGTCTGGAACATCTGAAGAGAAATTTGAGGGATAAGTTGTCATGTGGAACACAAATTTGGTTAGGGAGACGATTGTGTCCAAGTTTTCAGAATGTGCATATGCTCTAACAAGGCGTCGTTTCATTTCAAGTTAAATGAATTAAAA